TCTTTGATGTATTCAGTCTCACATTTCTTGTTTCTGAGCACCTTTATCACTCTTGCTAAAAATCAGTTGTTACTAATTCTGATAACAATCTAAGCTTAAATTATGTCCTGGAAAGAAGCTAGAAGTCCCCCTGACATCTCCACCCTTTTGTTTTAATTGTAAGACTAATATTAACAAAAAGACTAATATTAACAGTTCTGTGTCCTCTATGTAGTAGGCTTTCAATGTTTTAGCTGTCAGTCAGAAAGGGTAAGTTCTCTTATGAAGAGGCCCCCAGTATATATGAATTATACATGAAACAATGTAATTAGGTGATGGGTTAAAACATGAGGCAATCAAGATATGGACAGTTGATATAGTTAAATGCTAACAATTCATCTGTACTGTTTCGTTCTTCATGTCTAGTTTTGCCTTGAGGTTGACATCTCTGTAAAATATCACTCGTACTAGTTTGATTTGATTTGTATTATCCCTCTAATTTCAATAGCAGGCTGATTGGTCTTTTAATAAGATTTATTTTTTCACAATTATTTTTATGATGTCAAATCAACATCTATACTTTAATATGTTATGTAGCAAACCATCAAAGCTGTTCTTTAAGTAACTTCACTGTAAGAGAAGATTTTTCAATCATTTGAAAAAATTAATTAGTCAAGAGATGCTGGTGTGACACAGATCATGCACCTCTTGTTTTTGTTGTTACCTTACCAGATTTTGGCAGATGTAACCAGTCATTTTAAGGTCAGTTCTCATTGTATTGATCCAAAGTGATGACTGCACATGTCTGATAACAAGATCTGTCGGATAACATACACCCACGCCTGTTTTGTTTACATTGTCTGGTATTGTTCTTGCACGTCAATAAAGTGTGACTTTATATGATGAAAAAAAAATTATTAATATATTGTATTAATCTATTTTTCAAATTAATTTTGTGCAGTCAAGATAAGGTAGGTGAAAAGAAAGGAAAGCAGTGAAAAAATCTTGATGGGCTGTATAGATAAAGGATCGAAGTTGTTTAAGCTTCAGTAGATCATGTTCATTGGCAATTTCCTGTTACCATGGTGACCTAGTCTGTTTAATCTGAATATTTTTATTACATGATACAAGAATAGAAAATATAGATAGAAGGACTGTTTTATGCATCTTCTCTTGTCCTTGGCCTGAAGGGTTTTATTTTTAGACTACCTTTTAAGAATATTGTAAGACGTTTTACAGAGTAAACTTCAAGTAGAACTGTAAGTTGGTCAACAAGACAATGTTCTTGTGAAATCATGAGAACAGAGACAAGTAGTTACGAGGTCTTTATCTTTATCAGGTTGGGATATTGTTCACTCTGGTAATAAGTGTGAAATCCACTAAATCTCTTATTCAGTCATTAATATGACTGCGACTTGCCAACTGGATATTGGTAATTATAATTGCTTGATGTCCATACTAGTCATGTTATGGCTATTGATTGTGTGAGAAAATTGTACTGAGGGCAATTGTGTTTAGAGCAAAATAATCTCTAAAAAATAATCCAGAATTTGTACAGAAAAATTAATGCATTAAAGATAGTAAATGCTATCTATTTAAAAATAATTCAACTAATTTACACAAGTCTGTATGTTTCCCTAAATTTACTTGATTAGGTAAGATAAAAGAACAACTTACAATTCTTTTCTTTTTATCACAAGAATTGAAAATTTTGTGTTTGTTTCCTTATTTCTTTTGATCATTATGAACAGGCATTGCTTGTCTTGACATATGCTATTGCCTGCATTAGTTGTTGCTGTTAGCATTTGCTTCTGACATATCACTGCCCTTTCCAAGAATTTTTACTTATAAATATCACAGAAAAAAAAAATGTTTTGCTTATCATTCTCTCATTCATGTACTGGAATGATTCCTAGGATTGAAATACATCCAGAGTTCAGAAAGCCATCAAATTAGATTATTTTTCTCGAAGCTCTGTTCTGGATTTGTTATTTTTGACAAATTGGCATTTTCCAGGTGTGACTTTGCATATCCACAGTTCCGAAAACCTGCACTAATTAGAAGTTCTGAATTTCCACAGTACCATGCATGCTGTTAGTATATACTGTTATTTAAACTGGTAGTGGCTAAGCATCAAGTAATATTGTATCTAAATTGAGAAAAAACTGTGTACTGTCATCATAAAGACATTTTAAGGAAAACCAGTTTACATATTATGCTGAAATTTATAATCATGATTCATAGGACTAATATACATATCCAATTAAAGACCCAGCCTCATTGGATTATTATTTTTCTTATAGTTATGAAGTTATTTAGTGATTTTTTTCATTTTTATTCACAAATATGCATTTTCAAGGTGTGACTTTGAACTGCCATGGGTTTGAAGTCCTGTGCTTGTAATATTTTCTGAATGTCCAAAGTGACAGTAGTGCAAAGTTAAAGGGTGTAATATTATTTTTTAAGCCTTATTTGTAATATTGCATCAAACTTTAAAAATACATTTTTGCACTTTCATCATCATAGTGATTGCTCATCATTTTTAGACTAAATGCTGTGCTTCTGTTAGTTTTCCCATGAATATGCCAATCCATGTGACAGCTTTGCTGCCTTGTTTTAATGAAAAGTTTCTAGAATAATTTTGATTTGATGATTTAGAACTCTGAATTGCAACAAGTTTGATTTGATGATTTAGAACTCTGAATTGCAACAAGAAATCAAAATAACATAAATATCTGCATGTGCAATTAAAAGATTGCTAGGGTGAAGGGATCTTGGAATGAAATTTTTGATAGAGGCGGTGATTTGTTTATATATGCTGTTAGCTGTAAATGAGAGGTTCAAATGGAACGATGACACTGAAGCATGTCAAGAAACAAAGTAGAATACTTCTTTGGACTATTTGCAGTGCCGCTTTGGCCTTTAACTCTTTTTTTTTTATACAGTCATTATGAATGCAATGATTGATTGTGGTGTTTTTATTTCACCATTTCTTATATTTATCAATATCCGTGATAGATATCTGAATTACCTAGGTCATACTTATCAATTTGGTTGAATTGAAGTTGTCAGCACTTAACATTCTAAATCAAACAATTAATTCATGTTTGCATATGGCTGTGTACTTAATACTTAAAAATTGCCAGGAATATGCCAACCTTGTTAGTATACTTGCATTCCAATTTCCTGAAAGGTTTTGGTCCATGAATAGCAGTTTCAAATCAATGAGATGAGTTATATTTTCAGACAATTCACTGTTGTTGTTGTAAGGATACATTTTGTTAAATTCATAATATATTATTTGTATGTAATTTTTGATCATACTATTTTCCTTATCCTGAATAGTCAGTAGCTGTCAGATTATAAGGTATTGTGTTGTAAGACTTCACTTGATAAATTTATATTAGATTCATCATTTATTAAGTCATTGAGTTCCACTGTTGGAGTATTCATGGACTAAAAATACAACAATAATACAATTTCAGATTTGTTACATTAACCTCTGTTTTGCCAAAATTTTGCTCGCTGACATGATCACTAGTAAAGAAGTTTTTTTAAAAATTTTTTATGAAGAGTATCATATACCAGTACTGGATTTCCTTGGCTTTCGCCCCTTTCTTCTTTTACTTCTGTTCAGAGTGGTAGTTTAACAGTTCAAAAGTACTCCATTTCACTATTTTCTCAAGAGTCTTTTAACCATTATCTTGAAATAATTCAAAGTTACAGTGAGTATCATATATATATATATATATATATATATATATATATATATCTTTTCTCTTGATTTTGTAATTGAGGCCATTTATATATTCTAGGAAGAACATTTTGAAATCTTGTCCTTGTGCAATGCTGATGTTAACAAAGGCCTTGGCCCGTTACCTAGACTTGATAATCTACCCATTCCATGATAACCTGTGCCTCAAGAGAGTCATATGTGAACGTTTTCCTGTTTATTAACAATATGTCCTGAAAATGTAGGCATGATTTCCTTCTTTTATAGCTGGCATCAAATAAAGTCCAAGTTTCATTTGCATTTTTTGTGAAACTCAGTACAAGTGTATGTTGCTTTGTTTACTTTCTTTTTTTTTTTTTATTTTTACTTTTTTGCCCTTCTCAGTACAGTTTCTGGATTTTTGAAATTTAGGAATTACATGATCACTGATTGATGGACTGTTGGGGGTATATTACATACATTAAAGTGAAGTGCTCTGTATTCTGGATGCATGTCTTTATTGGGAGAAGATTGTTTAGAGTATTCTGAAATTATGAAAAAATTAAGTTTCTAAATATTATCTAGGGTTTATAAAAACAAAGTGCAGGAAATTAGGTTAAAGTTAACTGTAATCATTAATTGTACAAATATATAACAAAAACAATGTCCAAAGTTTTAACTTCAGTGGTTGATCCTTTCAGGAGACAATTACTACTAATATGTAACCTAGTTATTTGAAGTGTTTCATAAATTGAAAGAGGCATATTTCCCAAAAAGATTCTTCTTAGCAAAATATCCAAAAAAGACAAAACTCATTAGCATAATTGGTTTCACATCTGCATTTTCTTAATATTCCAGGTGAAACAGCTCATGGAAGAAGCTGTAACCAGAAAGTTTGTCCATGAGGAGAGCAGCAGTATCATGTCTCTTAGTGGTAAGTTATCACCTGGACAATTAATTTAAAAATTAAAATAAAAGAAAATAAGCCAGTTGAGGTTAATCCAAAGACATTTTTACTTTTAATGCAAATTAGATCTAGATATGGAATTGAAATTATACCTTTAGTGTTACACATTTCTAAATTCATACTTGGAGCAGATATAAGTCCAGTTCACATTAAAAAATAAAACCTAATCCAATAAATTCTGTTATTACCAGTGTCCAAAACTCATACCTGTTAAAGCCCACTATATACTGGATGGTGTCCTTTCTGCGTCCCGTAGTGCAGCCCTATTTGAGAGTAAAAGTAAATTATATTACTGCTACTTATTTACTAATCTGAAAAACACACACACACACATACACACACACACACACACACACACACACACACTACACAAAAGATAAGAGATTGGATTCTACTGGCTGAAAACCTTAGGACATTAGATATATCATCTGCTGTGTGTGAGAGTGTGTAGACTGTGATAGAGCCCAAGTCCCAAGGTGGGTTTAGTGCTGTCAGTGCATTCACACTTATGTGGTAGGTCTTTGATGTATATTCGAAACAGAAACTGTGGTTAGGTGATAACTGTGGTCCAGATGGCTAGTGTGAATTGAGTTAAAGATAACTATGACTGGGTTCACATACCTAGATCGATCTAACAGGATCAATCCTTTTCCGAGGCGTTCCTTGCTAAATTGCTTTCAGCTTAAGTGGCTTAGATGTCTGGAGCACCTACTGAAGCTGCTAAACGATAATTAATTACCCCCTAGCAGCTTCAGTAGGTGTGAAAGACATCTAAGCCGCTTCAGTTGATTACAATTTAGTGAGAATCCCATCAGAGATAGATCAATGTATAGTTAGTACACTAAGGTCTGGGAATGGTCCCTATCACTCCCTATGTACTTACTTTATCTGTTGAAACCTAGAAACTTGAAATACCATTCAGTTCCATTTGTTGAGTGTATACAGGAGTGTTTAGAAGTGATCTGGTTTATTATCATGTGTATAATACTATGTTGTAGAGCATGCTTTTTTTCTCTGATCCATATTATAAAGGGTGTTGTATACTTTAATTTATGCCAGCGTTCACAAAAGAGGAAATAATGCTGTTTTTTACCACCACCAAGGAGGTTATGTTTTCACCCCTGTTTGTCTGTCTGTCTGTTTGTTTGTCATCAACATTACTCAAAAAGTTATAGACGGATTTTGATGAAATTTTCAGGGTAGGTGGGAAATGGGATAAGTTAGAAGTGATTAGTTTTGGTAGTGATCTGGATCAATAATCAATCAATAATCAATAATAATGAAAAATGGCTGCCTTGGCGGAGGTCTGCACTCTCGGAGTGCTTTTCTACTTTGCTTTAGCATTTACAATATTGTCTTGGAACCCAGAAATTGAAGAGCACATTTTGAAGAAAAGACTTATGGAGTATTGAGGAGCAATGAAAACATGAATATTGAAGCTGTTTCAACTCTCTCGTGGCTTTTAAATGAAGAAAATGAAAGTATTATTCTGTGATGAATGCGAGCAATGATTAACTTTTGGTATTAGTGAGCAGATTGTAAACCCAACGTTGACTCATAAGTCATGGCTCTTTCATGGAAATCAATGCAGTCTCTGAATAGTGGCTGATATTGTAGTATCATTAAGGAAATCTCAGAACCCTACTTATTGGATTCTCAAACTTTACAGAGATGTCAGTTAAAGTAAACATATTTTAAAGACCAGGTTGCTGGCTGCCCCAGCCTGTATTTAACGTAATGGCATTATAATGGCATTTAGCATCTAGGAAAGGGAGATTTTATCAGCACATTTTTTATGACTAAAAGTGATGTAATGATAATTGTTTGTAATCCATGACTATGTAATTATTCATCAAGAGAAAACTGCTGTGAGATCCTGAGATATTGTCTCTGAGATCCTGAGATAGTTGGTGGGAACCTTCTAATATTTCCAGGAATTTGGTTAATCAAAAATGATATCCTAATACGTTGCCATTTCAATTTCTAAAAACCACAGCACTTTTAAGTAATGCTGTTAAATGGAGCTGAATTAATAATCCATTTATCCTCAGTTTCTCCTTGTAGTTATTATTCATGGGTCAGATTTCAAGACAGCTACTATAGCTCATGCAGTTTATTGATTTAATGGAAAATTCCATCAGGTTCTTGTCCCTTACTTTTGCTATCAGTACATATACTTTTCAGTGACACTGTGAATATCACAGAAGTACACTTCAGAGAGTGTGTATGAATGTGAGAATCATTTTTTGAGAGCAAAATATTTTTCTTGAAACTGTCAGGCATCTTTATTTTTACTGAGGGAAATGCTTGCCCATCAATGGGTTAAGTAGTTTGTGCCACCTTTTAGTAAGCCATTAGTTCTCAGTTTTATCAAAGCGCTCTCACTACAGCTTAGAGTCAATATCAGCTGTGGTCTTGTAAATTCTTTTATATCTGTTGTTATTAGGTGCTGAGATATTTTATGACAACCAGAGGCTTCTCTTTTCTTTACCCTCTCTTCCCTTCTGTAAAAAATCAATTTGAAGCCAATGTGCATTAAATAGCTTGCAGAAGATGTAGACCACATTGCTGAACATGGCTTTTACAAATAGAGTTGATGCTGTGAACATCCCAAGCTTTGACTGAAGGTCTAGAGGGAAATGACCACAATATGCTCCACCTCTGTTATATTGAAATGCTGTTATATTGAAATATTGTAAGATCCTGAAAGGACAAATTAACAAGTTTCCTTATTCAGGCCTTATAAACGGATTAGGCATTTACTAACACTACCCGCAGATCTTTTAGCACTTATATCCATATTAACCATATAACCCACAAATTGACCAGCACTACAAAAGGGGATGAATGTTAGTGCTAGGAATCACTCTGGTTGTAGTAATTACTTTTAAGGTGTGTTGATTAATTAGTGGGTTATGTAGTTAATGCAGGTGTTGGTGCTGAAAGATCTGTGGGTAGTGTTAGTAAATGCCTACTCTGTTTATGAGACCTGTTTTTAAGTACATAAGCATTGGCAGTATTTATCTGTGAGTACATTGAGCATGTTACAAATGAAGAGGTCCTTAAACAGATTGATCAAAAAAGACGGCTTCTCAACACTGTCAGAGAAAGACAACTGAAGTTCTTGGGACATTGCATCAGAAAAGAGGGATTAGAAGATCTTAGCCTGAGCAGTAGGATACCTGGCAAAAGTGCCCGAGGCAGACAACGAAAGTCCTTTCTTGACAATTTTGAATTACCAACAAGACACCTCTGGTCATGGGCGAGAAATAGAACCCTTTGGCAAAATATCAGCGTTCGTCAAACACCGAATCGGTGGTGGCACATGAAGAAGAAGATCCTTGTTCACTTAACATAATTTCTGTTTTACACATTAACGAAGTAAAATTTATCAAATTTAACTTACTAACAAGATCAGATATACATATGATAATAGCTATAATTTATTTTAAAAATGTTGTAGTTTTTTAAATCAATAATGATAATTCATTGAGGTCTCCCCATCCCCATCACGATGCTTATTGTGATTACAGAAACAGATTCGTAATGAGTATCTACAATCAGGTTACAACTGCCCGAAGTTAAATTTTGGTTGTTAAAACCCTTATCAATTGTGCTTTTTTGTCTGGTCTTGAGGTACATGCAAAAAAAAAAAAAAAAAATCAATAGAAATCAATGGCAGTTTAAGTGAAGTCCCTTGATAGAGCTGACACTGTTACCTTCACCCAGGCACTCAGAGAGCCTGAGGCATCAGATTGTTGTATGAATTAATGTGTGATGTCGATAGAACAATTACTGAACCATTCAGAGGCTGGCTTATTAGCTTTCTCGGGAATACAAACTGTGTAGATTAGAGGGAGGGGTGTTTAGTGAACGTGATAGAATGGCTGTCACAAGGGTACCCTACAAGATCAAGGGGGGGGGGGGGAGGCGTGGTCATTATTTTTTAATAGATATTTTGAGATTGCATGCTGTATTTCATAAACATAATATTTAGAAGTGCTCCACGTTTCAGTGTTCCAGGGTTATGAAAGTTGGATATTGATGATCTGGATGTTTGGCCCATTTTTGTGGAATTTTGCTTTTACAAAAATTGTTTTGTAGATGTTAGTTTGCGTCCCCTTGGTTATTAGGCCCTGCAGTAGCTACTGCTAGTCCACTTTATTGAAATTTGGTGGTGATTATGCAGTTAAGCATTGTATAATATTAATATGTCGAAATTGGCAATGAGGGTATTCAGTGCACTTCCTTGTTATTATCAACAAAATTATGAGAGTGAGTACCGTAATATATATAAAATTCACCCTAAGTTGAAGTAATAACTCATCTTGGTTACATAACTTTTTTTCAAATTATTCCAATTTTTGTGAATTTTTTGCTTTTACAAAACTTTGCATTTTCAGAAGTGACAGACTTCTGGCCTGTTTTGCTGTTGATGTTCACTTTATATAGTTCTGGTCATTTGACAGCGTGTGCTGTCTTGTTCATTAAAAGGGCATATTTATAAACATTTACATGGAGTTGGCTGGAAACCTCAAAGAGTTTCCACACAAATCAAAATAACAAATTACAGTTTTAATTTGTTTCCAGGAGCTGTGGAAGCTTGTCTTCTGCATGGCCTCAAGAAACGTGCGCTAGGTCTCTTTAAGCTGAGCACCACTACTGCGCTGCTCCAGAAAGTTGCCAAGGGATTTGAACCAGCGGCCCATGTCATGAAGACTTACAGTGAAATAGAAAATCTGCATGAAGCATCCAAGTGAGATTCAATCTGGCACTTACATACATTTGAACACACACACAATGCGCAAATACATGCACACAAAGTAACATGCATACATGCGAACATTTGTCAGATGTGCACTAGTAGGTGTAATACCTCAGGGAAGTGACCAGTTATATTGATGTGTTCTCTGCATCTGCTATGATATTTATGAACCTAGGGAATACTGGAATCTGTGGATGGGTTTAATGAAATTATAGTAAGAAAATGTGTGAACAGACCAAGTAGTTGATTTATGAGATTTTTTTTTACTAAAAATGTTTTTATAACACATAGACCCCAAAACAAATGTATTTTTTAAAATTTAGTTTAAGATGAACTTGAATGTATACACTGTATACAGAAGAATATGGTTTTCATATGGATTTTGTATTTTCATAATACTTGCTGTGTCCTTGTATACTTGAAGTATATTTGGCCATTTAACCTATATTTTTGAAGAACTGATTATCTGTACCACATGTTAATTATCTGTCATGAGACTGTAAAAATCGGTGGTATATGAAAAAAAAACCATTTACAGTTTAAAGCCTTTTTATTACATGTTATTGTAACAGTTATATTATCAAATTTATATTTCAGAAAATCATCCATTTCCCTCACTTTAGATGGCAACAGAAATCAGAGTGTAAAGAAACCAAGTGGTATTTACAACCCCAAATACTTGTGGATCAGGATTGCTCTGTTTGAGAAACAGCTGGCCAAGATTTTAGACTATCTTGTCAAAAACTGGAAGTAAGCAGCTTGGTTTTAAAGTTATGCTCATAAAAGATATTAAATGAATGTATTGATTTTGAAACATGGTTAATGGGATGTATCTTTTCTGAGTTCCGGGTGGATGGATGGTTATTTCCTTTCTTCCAAGATAACATATATATATATATTATGTGAAAACTGGCATGCTGTCTTTCATTTTTGGGGCACATGTTTATCTTGTGACTTGGACTGCAAGATTACATACACATATACCCTCTAACATTGCAGCTGATTAAACTAAGCACTGTGTTAAACGCTGGACTTTTAAGGGGCTGTAACATTATAGAAACCCTCTTATTTCATTCCAGAATATCTGCAAACATGATATTCAGCCAGCTAGTTATTTAATGAAAATCTACTAAATGTTATTCGATTTGCTACCTTGAAACCTTTTATAAATAGATAGATAAATGATTTATAGTGCCACCAGATTTAAGTTGCTTAGGATTTGCCCTCCTTATTGTTGTACATTCCCCCTTCTCAGCCACATCTTATAACTTATAATAGCCTCACCTCACAAACTACAAGGACTAACAAAATGCACATTTGGGCCACATTTATTTATTTATTTATTTTTACAATGAGTTTTATTAGGAAGAGCTTGTCTAATGTTAAATTGTTTTTCCAGTAAATATTATGAGGAGTGGGCATTAATAGCTGATGGTTGTGATGGACCTATTCTCTCCTCTCTCTTAGGTAATGGTTGGCTTCCTTGATGTTTTGCTTAATTTTTTTGAGTTTGTTTGAGTTATTTTCTTAGAGTTGTTAATTACATATTGTTATTATCCAGTCAGTTTATTTTAATTGCCGTTTTGCATTAGTTATTAAAGCATGTGAGGATGAATCATGAGAAATTACTCAACTGAGAAAAAAATTAATGAATTAATTATTGCAAAAGATGTTCTATAGAAATACAATCATGTGTGTATTTCATTATCCTTTCATATAACATGCAGTCATACCACACCTCTAGATCTTTAAATATTGCATGTTATGTTGCTGGTACTATTTGACCTGCAATAATTTCATATCTCCATGCTTGTGTTTAGTTGGTCCCTGTGCCCTGGAATATACCAAGATGAAAACCACTGACCATCTGTGGACAGACCCGCCTGCAGATGAGCTGGTGCAAAGACACAGGATTCACAGTGGAGGGAATCACCACATCACCAGGCCAGACTCCCCAAAGAGGCCTGGACTGCAGGTATATAGTTGTTTTAAATCAAACATGGTGTAACACAGCACAGTTTTTCATAAAATCACATGTAATTTTCAGGTTCCTAGTGACCACATTGCGGCGGGTAGTTCTCATGGTGCCTAGGCACCATTTATTATGCCATTAGGCTTAGCACACTGGTGTGACTCTTGGTTGTGTCATGCTACACCTTACAGCATGCTCTCATTGTTTATTATGTCATTGCTCATAGTCATTGGCACTGCTGACCTAATAGCAGTTTACCTGTTAAGCCTCCTACATGACATGAATTGTTTACATGCAGAGATAGAATTACATTACTTCTTAATAGAGTTGCTTATTAGAACCTTGTTATACATGTGAAGGGCATCAGTTTATTGAGGTTACTTTTCTGCTCTTTTTCCATAAAGAAAGCTTGTCTGTCTGTATATTTATTTATTTATGATTAAGGAGACCTGCTTTGGCTGCATTTTGTCATATAAAAAGTGTTTTCAGACTCTTCTGAATGAAATTTTCAGTGTAGAAATGGTAAACTTCCAATTTTCAGTCATTAAATGTAGCAGCCTGTCACTGCTGCCATGTCCTGTTTTCAGTACTGAACTCGTGTGTGTAGAAGCCAGGTGACAGCAATAGAGAGACACAGGGCCAATTATATGTACTGGTTTACACCGAAGAAAATAATTTCAATAGGATTCCTTTCAGATAATTACTTGCTTGCAACAACATGTTGTATGCAAGAAGTAGGCTTTTTGAGAAGCATTGGCTGATCTGACATAGAATAAAGTTGACACAAAGCTGCTAATTGGGCTATATACTTCTTCGCTCAACTTATTTTTGATATTGATACAACTTTATAAATATAATGAAATCAGCTGTATAAGCAATTAATACTTTACCTAGATGAAAGTTTACAGTTTGTATATTCTGCATATAGTGATTAGTTAGACTACCAGAAGCTGACGGCACCTGCATGTTGGTGTGCATTACTTATGATGTTGATGTGACTTTGGAGAAGAGAGATGGAAAGTGTTATTTGTGGTTTGGATAGACTCTGCATGTTTGTATGGATCACAGGGCAAAATCAGTTGACAGAGCTCCATTATAAAGATAATGAGCAGAAATTTGATGTTTACTGTCAAGTTGTTTTGGAAAATTGGATGGATTCAGGGGATTTTAATGTCATGTCCTAGAATTACATGATGGGAGTAGTGCAGAAATGAAGATTTGAGACTTAGTACAACCTTGGGTTGATATTGTTCATGGTATTAAAATGACTGAAGTTGAGGAATATTGGGAATTCTGCTAACAGGACAGTGAATAAGGGTATGAGGTGAATTTGATAAACAGTTAAAATAGGTTGAGTGAAAGACTATTGGCATAGAAAACCTCAGAATGTTCAGTCAGTTTGCCAGTTCATTTGAAGAGATCTTCACTTGTTGTGTGAAATTCCACAGAAAAAAGACCAGGAAGGCAAGAACAAGAAATAACAGTTTCTTCATAATAGATCAGAAAAAGAAGTTTAATTTTATACCAAGAAGAAAGAAAGTTACAATAGTGCACATAAACATGCAGAATATTGGGGAAAATGTCCATAACAAGGTAAATTTCAAAGATAAAAGAAAAGAGAACAAGAAGAAGAAAACCCCAACTATATGTTTAAATATATAACACTTGTAAACACATGCCATTAATATAGGAAATCTTTGTACTAGATGTATGGACCCAAAGTTGAAGTGATCTTAAAATGACCTTCATGCTGAAGGTTGATTGTTTTGCATATTCAGCTATGTAGTCATGACCTTAAACATGATGTTCAAGAGTGAAATATCTGTGCCACAGCTCCAAGTATATGTTGTGTTATTTTAGATAAAACTTCTGTCAGGCGGATTAATAAAGCTGGAAAATGTGCATTCAACCGTACATTTGAAAAAGTGAATGAGTCACCTGTTGGATAATTGCACCAAAGAGATAAAGTGCTGTAGAATGATCATTTATATGCATAGGCTTTGGAAGTTCTTGAAACCTTTATCATTATACTTTACAGTTAATTCCTTATATTTTTGAAAATAAAAAAATTATGTGAAAGAATTATCAAAAGAAAAAAAAAAAAAAGAAAAAAGGCAATTCTTTCTGGCCCATGCCCATCATAATGCAATATTTTAATAAAAGTTATATTTCTTCCAGATCCGGAGACACACCAGTAGCAGCAGTGAGGAGAGCATGAGGGGAGCTCCAGTGTCGGCCAAAGAATATGTAGAATCTCTTCATCAGAATTCCAGGGTGCTTCTCCTGTATGGAAAGAATAATGTCCATGTTCAGCCAGTATGTGTTCAATATGTTTTATATGGTATCATTTGATAAGACAACAGTGTTTGCATATTGCCTTGCATAAAAGTTTCTTTATGCTATGATAAACCCGGCAAATTGTATATTAATTTTTTTAGTGCTCAGTTCTTACAGTTTTATTTGAAAATTGTTAAGGAGCCTGTCTTGAGAAATCTAACCCAAAGCTGCATAATTGTTACAAACCAGCAGAATACTGATAAATTTCAATATACATACCTGAAAGCAATTGCAGCGGAGAGTCATTAATCTTGCAATTATTGCATCTACCTTGATACTTTTATAAGGTCTTTTATTTCACTTCAAAAGTCTGAGAATCGTGCCGATTTGATATTCATTCAATCTCACTGATTTGATATAAAAAGAAATTCTTTGTATGTTATAGTATGTTTTTGCCTGCAGAAAGAAGATGCACAGCCCTTGCCTGGCTACCTGTCTCTTCATCAGTCTGCAGATGGACTGACCGTCAAGTGGACACCCAATCAACTGATGGGTGGTGGACAGAACACTCAGGAAGACACGGATAAAAGGTGACCTACAGATACACTGAAATGATTGATTATAGAGCATGCCCCTCTTGTCTTTAGTCATTTACCAATGAATCAGCGCAGAAAAAAATCCTTGATATTTGAAAACTGATGTTGTTCATGTATTACCTTTTGCTTTTTTTTTCTTTTGAATGTTGTCAATTGGAAATGAATGTGGTACTTTGATTGTTCTCCTTAATCATGCTATTGTTAGTTGTTAGTCTTTGTGATTGACTCATTCTGCACACTTTGACTGTGCACATTTGTTCTATTTTTTATTTGATTGAGCAGAATACACATCATTTTTCCTAGATCTTTTGTGCACCAGTGATTTTTCTGTGATTGACAATATATTGTATAGTTCAAATGCAGTGGATGTCATTTAGGTCTGCATACATGGTTCATAAAGATAATCCAAAAAGTGTGTTATGCTGATATAATTGTGGCAATGAAAGCCTATTTTTTAACCGTAAAACAGGGGTTGGTGGGGAACTTTATATTGAGTTGGTGGAATACTTTTGTCATGGTTTAGAATGTAAGAATGAGTGAATGCAATGCTTATAGTACATACATGCGCATATTGAAATTTGGTTTGACCTCAAATGTTATTTGGAATCACATAGCACAAACCATGTCTCAGTGGAAGTTCACTGATTGTTATGTGGCTGTTAAATGTAGGCGGTGTAAAGATTTGTAATAATACATAATGTAAAATCCTATTAGAGAGAAATGATGTGTAAAATCCCATCAGAGAGAAGTGATGTGTATTTTGTCTAGAATTTTCTGTTTGCTTTATCAAATTACCACTGAGTGTGTTGTAATGAGCAGTTGTTCTTATGTTCTGTAAAGTTTTAGAACCTTTTTTGTAAAATATTAAAGCTTAAAAGCAAATTTTATCTGTTTTTAAAAGAGTGTTCCTTTCAAAAATCTAGAAATGACATGCCTCCTGCTCAGGCTAACACTTTCATATTTCTCATAACTTGTTTTGCATTTGTGTCTTAATGATATTTATGTTTTCTTTTTTACTCACTCACATCTGTTTCCCCCCTTTAGTTCCTCTCATCATTCTGCTAGCAACCATATTCATAGACATAAATATAAGCGTTTCCTCAAGAAAAGGGGTTCACAGGAGTGAGTATAATTTTTTTCCATTCCTCATGTTTTTCTCTTTAGTTGCATTCACCCATATCAAGTTAAACCAGTTCAGCACCAGGTAATCTTCTCCTGCTAATCAGTCAGGCAATGTGCAAGTTATTTAGACCACGTTCCTATACCAAGATTGATCTAGCAGGATCGACCCATCTCCGTTGGGGTTCTCGCTAAATAACATTCTGCTTGAGCGACTCTGATGTCTGGCATACCTACTGAAGTTGTTAAGGGGTAATTAACTAACATTTAGCAGCTTCAGTAGACGTGCCAGACCTCTAAGCCACTTAAGTAAAATGCAATTTAGGGAGAATCCCCTCGGAGACTGGTCAATCCTGTTAGTATGATAGGGGTATGGGAATGGTCCCTTAGTCATCTATTAGTTAATTGTGCCACCAGCGTATGCATAGGAGGTACTTTGATATTAGCCCCAAACCACTGCACCCTCCTTGTCTGTTGCATGGGAATCAAGGAACTGGCATTTAGTAGGACTGGGACTGACATTTCATTAAAAGTTAAAAGGAAACATAGACTAAAATGTGTTTCACTAACCAAGGGAAAAGCAGATATAGTTATAATATAGAAGTTAAAAGGGAACAACACAATCCCAGCACTGAAGTCACTTTTTCCTAAACTATGAGTTTAGGGGCTGTGTGCTTTATTTTATAAACTTAATGCAATTATACAGTAGTGTTTCCCACATGCTGTGATCAATAAGTACATTTTCAGCACAGTTTCTACTTTTTTTTTTTTGGGGGGGGGGGGGGATCAAAATTGAAAACTTATTAGATATCTCTTCTTATCCTATCTTATTATCCCTTTGTTGTGTCTAATGCCAGCTGGTGGTACAAACCCAGGAGTTGGTAATTTTGTGAGTTTTAACAATTCATTCAGTAGACCTGTGTAAAATCAACTTACTACTGGGCTACTGGGATGAGGACTGACTAATTACTGGGCAAGGTGAATTTGAGCTGGTGCTGAAATGGTTTAGTGGGTATGGGTGTTCTTTTTTTAATCTTTTACCTCATGTTTTTTCCTTTATCAGCAGCTTTGATTATCAGTTGCGTCATTTCTCTATTACATATTTTTTGATTTAAGAAAAATGATGAAATTTATGAATGTAAATAATTTATGAGCAAAAAGTATCTGGCAAAAGCAAGGGATTCCTCCAGCTTAAGTTGAAAAATTTGTTATTGGAGATTTTTAACAGCATTTTTTTACCTTAATTACTACCTTAATGACTAACTTTGGACGGTAGTGCTTTTGCTGTTTGGATGTAACAATGTGGGAGCAGAAATGAATAATATATACCTAATATCTATAATGAGAATAATAGAGGCTGGGTACTGATGCAGAAGTTATTAGAATAGGCAAACTCATAGCAAAAATGGGTTTTATATTTGTTGCAGTCTTTTACATCAATAAAACTCATCCTTGAATATTGCATTGGATTTGGAAACAGTAGAAGTAATTTGTCCTTAGATGTATGTGGTTGTTTTATTACAAAAGAAATGTGATTTAGTCTCTCATATATTTTTCACATGCAATGAGCACTAGACCTTTACATTGCAAAACATTTCCTAGAAATGCCAGTAAGTTTCCCTTAATCATCTAGTCATACACCACCCAAAAGTATTGAGAAAATGACACCTGATTTTGAGTTTTTGGTTTAATTTTTAATCACTCTTGCAGTGAGTATGGAAACTGATGAACTGTTGGCGTGATGGTACGTTTAGAATAGGGGTTATAGATTGTTATGTTCTTGGTGGTTTTGGACTTGATAAAGGGAATTTCCAGGAAAAATGAGTTTTCCTATAAAATGTCAAAAGAACATTGCATGACCTTAAGAGCACGCAAGGGCCACTTGAACTTAGTGCTGAATTTTATTTTCCTCGAAATTTAAGTAGTTTCCCACAGAATACCATATCCAAAACCATTCAAAGAAAGAAAGTCAAGTTTTTGAATCACTTTTGTAACTAAGATTAAACACTGGTTTTGCATAGGGTATAACATTGTGATTAAGGAGGGAATCGCTGAAATATCCAGAAAAGTTAATTTTTCCAATACAAAGGTCTAGTGCGCATTGTGTGCCTTAAATGCCTCTGGCAACAGTTTTCTCTGTGTAATTTTCCAGTATCTACTGGGACTATGCCTTGGCCATTCATGTGGATGAGATAGTCTACCTTCACTGCCATCAGCAGCGTAAGTACTTCTGATTGTTTACACTGCGAAAATGAAACAGATTCAGCTCATTTTGAATATCTTTTTTTTTTTTTAGTACAGACACAGTGATGCAGATGCAAAATGCATAAAGATACCAGACCTGGCAAACTATATATGAGTGTTTAAATTAGAATACTTTCTGTAACAAAATATGAAAGATGAAAATATTTAAATCCAAATAACAAATGCTGAGTTCTTAAATTTATGCATAAAACTGTTTTAGCTGACAGTGGTGGCACCCTGGTCCTAGTGGGGCAAGATGGTGTTCAGCACCCCCCTATACATTTCCCCAAAGGCGGTCATCTGCTGGCCTTCCTGTCCTGCCTGGAGAATGGCCTGCTGCCCCATGGTCAGCTTGACCCTCCCCTATGGTCACAAAGAGGTAAAGGTAGGTGTGGTGTTGATGTCCACCCTAGTACTGTAGAGCCATAAGACATAATTCCATTCTGTTTGTGAATTCTTGGTTTTATATGTGCTTTTTCATCAGACTGATTTCTTGCCATGGGAAGCTAGGAGTACATCAGAACAGTGGACTAACAGATCTGAAGATACCCCACTAAAAAGCTTGCAGCTTAATTCCAGATTAGACACTGAATATATTCCCCGTGGTGATTACACAACAAGCATTGTAGTTGGTTGGCCATATTTGATTCATGGATCAGTTAGTCCAGTGTTCTGAATGCGGCCTAAGCTAATTCTTTTCTCATTTTGCTCAATGACATTGTAAGTGAGTGGAAATGTATGCAGTGTCCAGCTATGGAGCTGGTTAGCTTAGGTAGTGTGTTCTATTTTGAACAGTCACAAGTAGACAGGAAATGTGCCAGTGCTGTGCTGTGAGACATCCATGCTAGCATAGATTTTTTTCTTTGTCAAATATTGAAGAAAATTTAAATGAACTGAAAAATGAGAAATAAATTATCATTTGCATCAATTCATTGATTTGGTATAAAAAAAGTTAAAAGACTAGGTGAGGTTATTTGCTGGCATGGGTTGGAATGACCATGTCTAGATGCACAGACTGCCATCTCCATGGGATTTTCAAGGAAAAAAAATCTATGTTGTTGCATATTACTACACTGTTGGTGAGACTGGACCAAGCATAGAAATCTTAAGTAAACTTTCTGATTCTCTTTGTTTTTAATCAAAATTGGCCTTCCTATGTTTTATCCAGTGTCATCAAAATTTTTTGTACTTTGAGTTCCATATATTATGTCATACCAGACAACAAGCTGACCATAATATATAATTTTACTCTCATGGTCATAATGCAGTCTGTGGCATGTGCGGTTTGATTCATGTTGATGGAACTAGTGCTTCTGATATGGACAACTCCTCATTAATAATAGCTGCATTTATATTTTGTTTAGTTTACACATTCTTCAATGTGCATTGGACAGATATTGGCACCATGACTGTAGTTTGACATTTTGTCATACTTAAAGAGAAATTCAGATATTTTCACTGACCAGGAACTATTATATGGAGTTTTTCACTAAGTTTATCTTGACTTACCTTTTGGCCAAAAACTCAGTCTAATGAGTGGAAGTACATGTATGAGGTCATTGTATGTCATGATGGTTTGATGCTGCAAACGGTTTCTTTTAAGATTATAAAATATTCAAGTGGATGGCATCTCATTTTAGCTGTTGCATGCATTTTTACTGTTGAATTATTTTAATTGTATGTATCCTGCTTTTTATGTACAGACACAGTGTGTCTGTACATATAGTCATCATCTGTGTCTTTTGTTTTTGGGTGTTGTTATCATTTTCTTTATGCCAGGTCATCCATACATTTTGATTATTTATTTCTGCACATTTTGGTAAGACCTGCTTTAAGATATTGAAACATTAGTAGCATGCTGTTATTAAACATTCTCACAATTGAATAAAAAATTAAGCAATAGATTACCATTTTAATTAATTTTTTCTTGAATGTATAAATAAGTTACAAAAATACACTAACTTGACAACACTTTTTAAGCAATATCACTTTGGCATGTACTAAATAAATATGTTTTATCTATGTATGAAAAATTGCACTTTGAAAGTGATTCTCACATCAAAGACTGCGTAGGCGAGTGATGCACATTAATTATAATCCGATTGAGCTGCATCAGTTTTGATGAGATTCTGTACAAAGAAATCAATATCATGATGTCTGCCTACAGCAGCATGCCTGGCATATTTCATATAACATGGTGAACACGAAGGCAAACCCAATGAGGAGGAGAAGCACCAGAGTGGCCACTGTCTGGATGTTTGATGCTATGAGGACTACAATGTATGCAGCTATGGCAAATGTGCTGCCATGCCCTGAGTGGGGGTCACTTTGGTAGAAAGCAGGGATTGACATAGCTAGAGTATTAAATAGAATTACCAGAATAATAATCCACCATTCTTGAGTGCCGTAGAGAAATTTCTGCATGGGTGCTACCTGTTGAATGTCACGTATCCTGCTTTCGTTTGCCTCTGTGTTCCGAATGATGTGTTCCAGGGTGTCAGCAAAAGCTTCGCCGTATTTTTCTCGGTATACCTCTACTGCATCTCCAAAATCTCTAGCTGCGTACTTACTGATGAGGAGTAGGCACTCCAGGATCCAGTAGTAGTTCACCAGGATGAAGTTTACCAGGCTTAGGAAGGGAATGAGAACAGTGCACAAAATCATGAAAGCTGATCTGAATGATAACAAATAATCCTCACTGATGTAATTGTCAGCATGAATCTGAAAACCCAGCAGCAGCAACATGACAGCAAATAAAAAAGAATTTCCCACAATGCAAATGTAGGTTCTTGTTAGAATTCCACCACAGAAGCCTGTTCTCTCCGATACCTTAAAACCATGCACATTTAAAATTAGTTCCATATCTTTCACAAGTCTTCGTACCATATACATTCTGCTTACATAGACAATGGATAAGTCCACAAGATCTATGAACAATAGAATCATACCAGTTATTTGCCAGGCATTACCAAACTGGTAATCTTTTCCAACAGCTAGTCCAAAAACGGTGAAAATTATGATTGGATAGAGGAGAAATTCGTAGCAAAGATTGGTGATATACTGAATGCGTTTATTTCTGTGTTTATCCTCCTCTGATGTTTCTGTCCTTCCAGTATTTTTATTTTTGTAATACCTTAACTTAAGGTAGAAATAGATGACAAGGAGAACAATGTTCTCTAGGATCCCAATGATAAGTGCAGGGATTTTAAAATGTAAAAAGTTTGGATCAACCGCAATATCTGCTATGGTAAATACAAGGTTGGCTAAGAATACGCAGTGCATGAATACTTCCAATGAGGTGGCTATGCATGGGTTGAGGGGTTTCTCTGTCTGGGATGTAATTAATTTATGTCCAAGGTTAGCCTGGTCCTGATTTGCTCCGTATGATAACCGTTGGGTGTCAGAGACAAAACAGTGGTTTTTCAGTCTGTCACTGGCACTTATGTTGCCTGCACCGACATCTTGTCTCACTGCAGCCTGGTCTTGGTGGATGATAGGGATTCTGTCACTTGTAGAAATATTGTCCATTTCTGGAATTGAAACGGCAACTTGGTCATTTTTTATTCTAGGTGTAGGCGTTTCCACACTTGGGACAACTTGATTAGATTTTACGTGAGTGGTTCTTGGCTGTGTTTTTCTGTTCACAAATGTCTTTGTTGAACCAGCCTGTAAGTTAATTGTCCTTCCTGATGCATCTGTGTATGTAATTTGTTGCCCTTGATGGTAAGTAACTGCCGGACTGTCACCTTGACCTTCAGCCCCTGCGTGGTTGACTACTATTCTAACTGTCTTGTGCACAACTTTCGGCATTATGAAGATTTCTGTCTTTTATCCTGAAATGAAAGCATGTCTTGAATACTTATGAAAGACAAAGTGGACTATGTACGCAAAACCACAAACTGGATGGACATAGAGTGACCTTAACCACAAATTTAATCATCAATAATAATAATAGATTTTTATTCATAATGAAATATTTGGAAAAGTGTGCTTAGTTTGAGGTTCATTATTTTTTATGCCTGAGGCCACATGGGAATAATGACCTGTCAAGGGAAACTTTTCCACCCAGGGGATACTTCAGACATCATTGACTACATTGAATGACAACACACTGAGTGAAAGCTTAATCCTATTTCCTCAGATATTTTTATGATAGATAGATCTGTTGAATTTAGCATTGGCAAGACACTATTGTTTATTCCTTTTTCTTGGGAATGTGAATTTTTCTTCGTCATTTATTTAGACATATTTATTGGACATCGGAAATATTTTTAAATTGTAGAATCCAAGACTTTAAATAATCTGTGTATTAACATTTTGAATTTTTTGTAATGAGTTGAAAAATTGATTATTAATTATTGAAAAAGTATAAAATATATTGCATATAGAAAATTTACATGAGATTGTATTTTCACCTTTTTGAATGAGCTAGATGACGGTTTCTTAAAAAAGTTCATTAGCCTGTTAGTTATACATGGGTTGTTAAATTAATCAATTCACAGACAGTTTTTATCTTAATATTTTCATCAATAATTTTGATCAATGATAAATGAATCAATGATTACAACTCAGCGTTAGAACATCAGTGCATGACCAGTTTGTCCTGAGGAAGGCTCTTGAGTTGAGCCGAAAATTAGGTGGCATGAAAATATTTAGATAAAAACTGTCTGTGAAATGATTAATTTAACAATCCATAATTTAATAATCCACAGTTATTTACACAGGATAAATCACCAAGAGATACCCCATACAGGAGGTTGATAGCATGTAAACATGCTGAGTTGGCAGTAGCACTGTTTTCACAGGAAGCTTTTTTGGTGTTTGAGAAGTGATCACGAATGGTTTCTAGCGTAATTTGAGACATGTCTCAAAATTTACAATGGTTGTGTGGAAAGGTAGAAAAGAAAATGGTGTGTATGTTTTTTTCCCCCTTTTATTCCAGAGGTATTACCCCCAGAAGACAGATTACCAGGCGTAATTTAACACTTTTGATAAAATTTGTAGTACAAATTTTAAGAAGAATTATAGCTGGGTAAGGTAGCCCTTTTCACTAGCTACACAATGCCATGAGAATTGTTTGTATAGCTGCTTTGGGGACAGGGAAAGTCCTGAAAGTGAAAGTTAAATTTTTATTCCCAAAACATTTCTGTTACATAATCTGAGGAAATGGGGAACACAATTTTTAGTAAAAATGTATCAATAGTGTGCAGAATCATATTTTTTGGTTTTATAAATACTTATGAAGGTATTACACCCTCTTTTAAGTTGAAATATTTTTACACTAGCATTCCTCATGTCACTGTATATTGGACACATATAGGTTTTACTGCACTCACCTATTTAGTGACTTTCTTTGAATTTGTCAAGCTTCTCTTTTCCTCTCCATCCATTTTAACATCTTGAAATTCTTCTATTACTTCGAAATATATATGTTCTGCTTCCAAAATGAGTTTAACGGCGAATTTGACAGCTAAACTTTCTGTTTCATTCAATATGGTGGACTCACTATTTGCTTGTATTTATACAGCAACATGTCACATGGTACACAGGATAAAAGCCAGGTATCCCTGTATCCAATAGAATGCACAGCCCAAACAATGGTCCTCGGGTCTACGTCAGTAGGTTTTGTGTTGACCAAAGTAATGTAACCAGTATACCGTGAGAAGAGCTTTATTATTGCTCTATAAGTTTTGCCATATTCACCCTAAGGTGTAACTTCTGGCATTAGAAAGTTTTTTTGGAAATATTTCTTATCATAGCTGCCATTGACATCTTAATAGTTGAATTAAAAATATTTTTAGGATGCCCAATGTTTTAATATTGAAAATAAAGCAGAAATGTAGTACATGATCTTGAAAAAAAGCTCAAACTAAGATTTCAATTTTTAGTGATTTTTACCTGGATTATTTGTTGTGGAGTTTTAACATTGGGAGAAAATCAATGATTTAATGATTCAATTATTGATGAAAATAGGAAAGAAATTCCACATTGCTTGTTGAAATAATTGCTATAGAATTTCGTAACCTAATGAGATATGTAATATACAGAGAGAAAATTGAAGTGATTATCCAAAGGTTCAGAAAAAAGCACAGATATTAATGACATACATAGACAGGAGAGAGGCAGCTTATTGCTACTAGCCTACAACTTGATTTTTATATTGATTTTCTTTATAAGTTAAAAATTCATGCTTAGAGAATGCTGTGTTATGATTGGAACTCGGCAAAAGCATTGGGGCTTTTTCTAGTGTAAGTAAGCTGTATTGATCCTGTTTTACTTATTACAACATTGATGCTATTACTGCTAAACCTAAGGAAATTTGGTTGTTGCATTAAATCAGAATTAATGCTAAATGATGGAACTTATGCAGCCAAGATGGTTTTTCTATTGCTTGATGTATAATTGAGAAGTGATAAAAACCCAATACATAAGCTATTGTCTTTGCTTTCATGCACATTAGCCTGATTTGATGAAATAGTGATGAGAAGCTCTTTATTCATACACATGCAAAAAAATTTAATCATGACTGTATATGCCAATTAGTGCAAAATGGTTATAACATCTGCAATGTTTGGTAACACAGTACAGATAAATCTTTTGTCAATTGATGGAAATATGTTCTTACATCTGACACAATACACTTTTTTCTGCTTAGAAAATGCTTGTAATATCTGCTGAAAATATCACATTGCTATTCGTTGAGATAAATGTCATCTTTTTTATACATTCTGTATATTCCCATGCTAATCCCAGGGGTTAAAACTTGTGTTTTCTTGTAACTTTCTACTTATGACCTATTGATCATGTAAGTTGATAACTCAAGGTTTGTAAGTTGTAACCCTTTTGAAATATTGCCTAAACTCCTCCTTTTTTTGCAAAAGAAAAATGCTTAGTAAATATACATTTAAGTGGTGAGTTTGTATCAATATGTTATGGTACATATAATTCCATTATATTACAAGATAAGGCTTTCTAAAGTCCCTAACTTTTTCTAATGACAGAGACATGAATCATAACTTTTTAACTGTTTTAATCTCAGTTTTATTATTCTCCATGTGTGTTATCAGTACATCCAAGGACAATATTGCTGAACAAATCAGTCACTGGAAAATAACACAAAATTAAACTGTGCCTAATTACCTAGGACTATTGTAAATCATGGTGTATGATAACACTGACAACATTTATAGCATCATCTGTTTGTCATGTTAAGTTTGTAGCAAAGAAATACATTGGTAAAACATCAATAATTTAGATAGCCAGTAATCCCATGCTTTACAAATTCAAATAAATATAAACATGCTGATACCCATCACATAAATCATTGAACCATGATAAGAGATTAGTATACACTATTTATAGAATTTCTTTATATACTTTATCCTGTGTGAAAGTCTTATCTTCACACTTTTGTTCTGAGTCAAAGATTTTGTAACTTTAACATTAAAAAATAAATAAAAGAAAAAAAAAACAGGACTGAGTGGGAATCAAACCCACTCCCCTGTGATTGGCAGCCAAGGATATTACCACTGGGCCAGCAAGTCCTGCTATCTGATGGAGTGCTTTTGACAATATGTGATACCTGTCACACATGCCTTTACAGAAATTGCCGAAGGCTAGAAAATGCCTTCAAAATATACTTTTAACAGTTATAATCAAATTTAATCTACGGCCACTATCTTCCCACTGCCCTAAGGTATTGCTAATACCTGTCAGTTGTCAACAGATCATTGTAGTTTGAGAGACAAAAAAGGTGAAAAGGAGACTTCAGCTGATCTGCTATTACTATATAGATACATGTTTTACTAGATATAAAAACGGATTTGTTCTATTTTATAAATTTGTATAACAATAAAAAGAATAGGAGGATAAAAAACACCAATCCTGCATACTTCACAATTCCATTTTGTTCAGAAGTCATCTCTTCCCATCTCTCTTTCTTTTTTTCAATCTCTTCATCCACTTCAGGTGGATCACTTGGTTTGCTGTACTTATATTTGCCAGATGAATCATCAATAGCATCACGAGGAACTGATTTAGTCTGACGTTTAGAGTTCCATTTTTGACTCACCTTGTCAACTGAAGAAGTCTTACTTGAAAATAAGGAGAAACCCCTGTTGCTTTCAAACTCACTTAGCGTGAGTTGGCTGGTATGAGATCTGTTGCTACTGATGGTAGTTTCTTTTGTATCGTTAGAAGAGAGTGAATTTGTGCCGGTGCTTTTTTGTGGACTCGTGATTAGACTAAATGTCTTTTTTCTAAGCCCATGTTTATGTGATTTTTGATTAGGCATTTCTTGTTCCAGATGTACTTCATTGTTTTGATTCATTGAACACATTGTGCACAGGCCTTCGCTGTGATTGTGATTTGTTTCTGTCTCTCTGATTTCACATTCTATTTTAAAGTCACCATTCTCTTCTGACTGTTCTTCAATTTCTTCTAAAAGCAAAGTTTCAAAATTACCTTTAATGTCATTTGAAGCACCGCATGTATGTTTGCCATCTTTCTCGATGGATGTTACTACATCTACTCCCTCACATTCCACTCTTTCTGTTTCCTGGAATTCTGCTATCAGTGACTCAGAGAGTGGTTTTTGAATTTTTTTGTGTTCTGCTATTTTTTTTTCTGTCCCAGTGCCTGCCTCTATACTGCTGTGATCACATTCAGGGCTCACAGATGAATGAGCAGGGTTTGCATTTGACCCATGTTTGAAAGCATGCTCTTCCTGATATGGAACTAGGAGTTGTCCATTGTCTTGGGCATGGTCAGTATTGATGTCATGGTCACTAGTCCATCTGACAGTGGCATCATGTCTCTCAGGTCCATCACCATCATCGGAAGTTCCAAAAAGCCATTCTCCTTGCACATTTTTCTCCTTTGTAACTGACTCATTTTTAAAACACTGTTTTGATGCAGGGGTTTCTTCGCTGAATCTTTCAGCAAAAGTAAATTGTTGTCCACCTTTTTTGGGACCATCAGTGTCAGTGTTATTATTTTTCTCGGTGGCATTAGGAATGACATGTATATCTCCAGCCTCCATGAGAGACCCTGTGAAAAAAACCATGCAGTACATCTCAGTTGCATTCCTTCTAGTAGATGATGTTCGTGGCATGGTTAAAGTAAGGAAGCAGCAAGAGCAAGTGGAATTTTAAAATGGAACTAGAGCTTTAGAAGTTAGAAAATCAGAT